TTTATATAATTCTAGGAGGTTTTTGGTAGTGGCCAAAAGAAAACCCTAAGGTTTTAAGCAATTATGGAGAGTAGACTGGGATTCAGTCCCCATTCCCCTATTTCTTCCTTTAAAATTAAAAAAAAAAGTATTTTTATTGATTTCAGAGAGGATGGGATAGGGAGAGAGAGATAGAAATATCAATGATGAGAGAGAATCATTGATCAGCTGCCTCCTGCATGCTCAACATTGGGGATCGGACCAGAAACCCAGGCATATGCCCTTGACCGGAATTGAACCAGGGACCCTTCAGTCCACAGGCTGACATTCTATCCACTGAGCCAAACCAGCTAGGGCCTCTATTTCTTAAAGAAAGTGTGATCCTCAGAATAATCTGGAATATTTGGTAAAATGTAGATTCCTGGCCCTATACTAGATCTACAAAAATCTGGATTAGATTGGTGGGAGGAGCTTCAGATGGCTGCATTTTAATCAGCTTCATGATTGGTGAGTTAGGACACTGTTGATTTAGAGAATGACCCAAGGTTATTTTTACTTAAGGATGATTCTAGTAGGAGAGAGTTTCTTTGTAAACTCTTTCACTCAGTTAGTTGATTAGATAGAAAGCTGTCGATCACCCTAGATTCTGCAAGGCACAGTCTTCTAGGCCAAGTGTAATTTAGTGTATCTAAAGACACTCTTGTGACATATTCATGGTAGTTGGGGGCTACATTGGGTTTCTAAGAAGATTGGAGACTTTGATGTTGAAGACAAACCTCATCTGTTCACGTTTTTTGCATAGCCATGTATTCCTTTCTCCCAGAGACTCTCTCCTTTGCCCATTCTATAAAAGGATGGGTATCCTTATTTTGTCTGTAGACTGGCGTATGAAACTCAAAATGTGATATTAGTTGCTTAGCTCAGATAGCTCCCTGTTTCTTTCCTCAGGACACTGGGCAATACCAATGTGATAGTGTTCATTAATCATTACTCTTATGTTAATATTCTATATATGTTCTGAGAGCTAAAATGCTTGTCTCCAGAAATTAACCTTTTTATGAATTTAATGTAAGTAACTCATGAAATGTGGTACACCAGAAGGAGAAGAAATTTTTGTAGTGGGGCCTTTTAATTCTCTTATATTTTAGGGTCATAAAATAATTAAATAAGTGACTTGTTCCATTTATGTTAAGAATCAGTCCAGTCCTAGATATTCAAATGTTGAGAAAGCTAAGCAAGAAGTTTTTAAAAATATAATTTTACAGAAAGATTCTATGCAAAATTGTCTACAGAATTAGTAACAATAGTAATCATAATGATGATAATAATTAAAAAAGTCTACCAAGCAAAGCCTCTGCCATGTTGAATCATGAACTAAAATCTGTGCTGTACTACTTGCTGATTAAGTGACTTTGGGCAAGTTAGGTAATTTCCTTCTTGAGTCTTAATTTTTCCCATATGTAAATTGGGCATTATAATATTTCACAAGGTAGTTGAGAAGACTAGTCAGATAATGCATGAAAAGTCCTTAATATTTGAGAAGGGTTTGTTGTTATCATGATTATCATATGAACAGAATGGTTGGCATCTTCAAAGGCCCTTTTCAAGAAACATCCTGCCTAATTTCACTTGCAGGCATGATAGTGATCAGTACGATGTTGAGGTGGTATGATTTTGTTGTTGTTGTTAATCCTCACCTGAGGATATTTTTTCCATTTTTTCTTTTTTAGAGAGAGTGGCAGGAGGGGAGGGAGAGAGAGAGAGAAACAGAGATGGAGATGTACCATAGAGATACATCATTGGTGACTGGGGCACTTAGCCAATGCTTTAACCACTGAACTATCAGCCAGGGCAAGGTTGTATCATCCTTTTTAAAAATATATATATTTTGTTGATTTATTACAGAGAGGAAGGGAGAGGGATAGTGAGCTAGAAACATCGATGAGAGAGAAACATCAATCAGCTGCCTCCTGCACACTCTTCACTGGGGATGTGCCCCCAACCCAGGTACATGCCCTAGACCGAAATCGAACCTGGGAAACTTTTAGTCCACAGTCTGTCTCTCTATCCACTGAACCAAACCAGTTTCAACTGTATCATCCTTTAACTAAGAAAATTCTTCACTTAGTTTTAATCTAAATGAATCTTAGTATGTAGAAGTAGACTCCCAATTACAAACATCCTATTTTTATATAAAGTTGTCTTTGACTTAGTTCCAGTCCTGCTACCAAAGTACCTAGTGTTAGCTGTGTGGATATAGAAGGGAAGAAAAACAGAAGAATCTTGAAAAACAGGAGTAATGTGAAAACATTGACTCTGGAAGCACATTTCTAAGAATGACTAGACTGCTTAATTATGCAGTTCAAATTTTCCCTTTTATTTTTGATTTAGTCATTCATTCAATAAATATTTATTATGTGCCTACTATGTGCCAAGCTTTTGTTTTTGGTTCTAGGGCAACATTAGTGACCAAAACAGATTAAGCTCTGCTCTCCCTAAGCTTACAGTCTATGCAGTCAATAAATAAGGAGTCAAAAAGGTAAATTTTATATAGTGGTAAGTGTTATGCATAAAACATGGTAATATAATAGAGAGTGATGATGAGGAGGGGGACGGGATCTACTTAGGGCCATAAGGATAAGTCTCTCTGAAGAATGCACTTAGGAGCAGAGGCCTGGATGGTGAGAAAGAGGCAACTCGGCAAAGACCTGGGGAATTATTATATGGGACAGACGGAAGACTGATTTACAGTCATTTATATATATAAAAGGCTATATACAAAGTGTCCCCTCAGGAGTTTGGCTGGGAGACTGGGAGTTTGATTACTTGCTATGACATGTGCTGACCACCAGGGGGCAGTACAGAACATGTTGGGCAACCAGTGGTAGTGGCGGGGCACTGAGGGAGTGAGGGAAGGAGGAGGCGAAGAACCTGATTGGCCCTGATCACCAGCCAGGCCTAGGAACCCTACCTGTGCATGAATTTCATGCACCAGGCCTCTAGTATTTGATAAAACCATCTCCACTCTGAGAGATCCATGAAGCCTCACAGATTCCAGAGAAATGGATGATCAGAAGGCATAGTTTACCCCTCTCCACATTACCAAATTCTAATATACTGAAAAAAGAGCAATTTAGTTAGGAACTGAATTCAGATTACCTGTATTATATCACTATCAGTATTTTACCAGCTAGACTACACTTACATTTAAAAAAAAAAAATTAACAAGTTTCCCAGCATGCCTTTCCCACATATATGATTAAAATGATAATGCTATAAACTACACACATTTCTGGTCATTTTAAATACATGACTCATTTACAGGGTTTATATTTTTGTACAACTTACATGAACATGCCCTCTGGGGTCATTCGTCCAGCTTGAATTAAATAGACTCCAAATCGAAACCCCACTGCATAGGCAAAATATACAAAAGCATGGCTGAATGCATAACAGATTCCAATGATCTGTGCTTTCTTCAGGGTATTTCTGAAATGCACAAAATTTACTAAATAATGGGTCATAAGGTATACCAAACACATTTTAATAAATGTAGAGTAATGAATAAAGGAGATTAGACATATTTTTTAAGGGACATACATTTTCCTAAGAATTAGTTATTTTTTAACTACTAAAAATTATTATAGAGAAAACAGAAAATGTAATGATTTTCTCTATAGTTATATACTTAAAATAAAAACTGATTTGAGAGAGAAACATCTATTTATTATTCCACTTATTTATGCAGTCATTGGTTGCTTCCTGTATGTGCACTTTCTGGGAATCAGACCCACAACCTTGGTGTATTGGGATGATGCTCAATCCCAGTGGTCGGCAAACTGTGGCTCGAGAACCACATGCAGCTCTTTGGCCCCTTTAGTGTGGCTCTTCCATAAAATACCACGTGCTGGCACGCATGTGCAGTGCAATTGAAACTCCGTGGGCCATGAGCAGAAGTTGGTTTTTGGTTCTCAAAAGAAATTTCAATCATTGAACTGTTGATATTTGGCTCTGTTGACTAATGAGTTTGTCGACCACTGCTCTAGCCAACTAAGCTACCCGGCCAGGACTTTTAGTATACACTTAATTCAGTATAACAAGTTGCCTCTATTTACTTCCAAATGAATGGATAAATCTGTCAGAGGACAGTTAATGAGAGAGTTAAGGAGATCTGGTTTAGAAGTTAAAATATTTTCTATCCTAATCTTTAGCTAGGAGATTAAATAGTGAAATTAAAGGTCAGTACCAACCACAAACATGTGCATAACAGTATAAAACTATCTCTCTGATAAAGTAATACAAAGAATATCAGTGAGTAAATATGATTAGGATGACTAGTTTAAAATTAAAAGGGGTGATCACATTTATTATTTATAAATTGGTTTAAAAGATGTGAACCATTTTATAGATTCAATTTAAAATATATATATATTTCCCCAGTCGTACTTTAGGGAAATAAAAAAAAGGTACACATTTAGTAAAAGCACATGGCAATATGGGAGGACCTAAAACATTTTTAACCGTGCTTGTTTTTTATTCCTCTTTTAGTCTCCTCTTGGTGAAACCAAATGAGAAATTATGATATGGCATTGTTAAGAAAGGTTCCAGAGAAAATGGATTGGCAGGCAAATTACTGGGGTCAACAGGAGTACAGCCTTTACAGGGGCAAACTATAATTAATGGCGTTAGTATGGATCTACAATCACCTGTGCTGAGTCTGAAGCGTCTCCTCATACTTTTGCTCAAAAGCTTTTTCTCTTGTCAATGATACTAATGTGCGTATATTCTCCACAGCTTCAGTTGCTATCTTATAAAATAGGACAATAAAAGGAAGAAATAAATTAATAATGCTTAAAATTCTCCTACCGTAGTTGTGAATTTCTATCATTTATACAGGGGATATATTGAGTACATCAACTCAGTAAGATTTCCTAATGAGTTTTTTTTAGCTTCCTTTTTTCTTTCCCCAAAATAAAATAAGAAAATAACATTTCAGGATAACAGCCTCAAGGAAAACTTTAAAAAAGATTTAGCCCAACTCGCCGGCGGTTACTGAGCAGATCAGACTTCTCTTGTTCACACACCTCGCTCGGCTTCCTCTGGAACCATGTCTGACAAACCCGATAATGCTGAGATTGAGACATTCGATAAGTCGAAATTGAAGAAGACGGAAACGCAGGAGAAAAACCCACTGCCTTCAAAAGAAAAGACTGAACAGGAGAAGTAAGCAGGCGCATCGTAATGAGGCATGCGCTGCCAATTTGCACTGTACATTCTACAAGCATTGCTTTCTTATTTTGCTTCTTTTAGATGTTTAAGCGTGTAAGATGCAAAGAGGTTGGATCAGTTTAAGTGACTGTGCTGCCCCCTTTCACGTCAGAACTACTGACCACGAAGGCCGCACCTGTGCTCCCATCTGCCTGGCTGGCTGGAGGGGAAGGGGGGAACTTGCATGTTAGTGAAGGAAGGAGCTGGATGGGACAAGGGTGAAATTTAGAATAAACACCAAGCTGGTCCAAGGGGTCCTGCAGCTGTAAAATGAAGTTTTTTTTGTTCAAATGATTTTAATTATTGGAATGCACAATTTTTAATATGCAAACAAGAAGTTTTAAAACCTGGAAGAAAAAAAAGATTTAGTTCACTGACCTAAATTTAGCTTCTGTCAAGTCTTCACTAAACTTCTATTTAAATTGGTTCCATAGGCAGAAGGATAGGATCCAACAGTAGTGAGCATTATGTTCATATGTAATTATGCAAAAGAACTGCCCTATGAATTACAAGATAATTCAAGGAGAAGACAGTAGAGAGAAAAAAAATAACTATTTTATTCTAGTACAGAAAAGCAAATAGCAACCAAAAGGCTCAGGAACATTGCAGTAAAGGAAGATGGGGTATGGCTACAGAATTCTTTATAAGCTATAGTCTGTGAACTTAAAAAATACTCCATTAAAATATAATGGATGCGTTCCCATATTTATATAGTTTTAAAAAAGAGTAATCATGTGGGATCCAAAATTGAGACTTTTTGCTTAGACCAACTTCTGGAACATGAGAACACATGTTGGCTGGGAAGAGGACCTCCCTCCTTTTACATTCTGTTTCCAGAGTGGCCGAGGGGGGGCTACGATACAGAGCAAGATTTAGGTGGACACCAAATGGTCTTTGAAGGAGAATTTGCGTTACAGGAAAGGTTTCTGGACTTAAGTCAGAAAAACCTGGATTCTACTCTCAATTTTGATGTTTTGTTTGAAATTGTCATTAATTTCAAAATGAACCCAAGGAAACCTCAATTTGTAGCATTCTGTTGTATGCAAGATAAATGGAGAAGAATGCTTAAATCTTGAAAAAAATAGAAGTGATTTTTTAAAATCTGTGATAATTTTTTATAACGGAGAAAGGACTATTATCAATTTAGAACCTTAGAAAACAGTCTTTAAAATAAAAACTAATATGGCCATTTTAAGTCTGAAAATAAAACATTTGGTGATTTGTCAAAATCTACACATGCAACCAAAGAAGGAGCAATATGTTTTATTGTCCATATTTGAAGTTTTAATGTTTGGTAAATAGGCTGATTTAAAGGTACTGGGAAAGCTATTGCCTATTTGATTGAAGTTACTGATTGTACATTCTATGTTTACTCTAATAATATAAAAAGGAAAAATCAAAAGGTGAATACAACTAAAGTTCATGACATAACAATTAAGATGGGTAAAATATAATTAATTAGGGCCCCATTAATTTGGAAGTTATGATCATTTGCATATAGGCAGAGTTAAGCAAACAACTTTTCACTATGTCTGAGGCAAATATATAGTAAGTATTTCAGTCTGTACTGCCCAAGCATGCATTCCAAAGGTCCTTATCTATATATCAATAGTATAAGAAAGGTAGAAAAGCCCCAAGGTCATACAAACCAGATTTAGATGAGTCATGTGCTTGGCATCCCTCTTCATAAATATTCATGCTATCTATAATGTGCCAACTGCAGCATAGTCAGTTTTACAGACCATAAGTAAAATGTATTTTTTATAAATACATTTTTATTGATTTCGGAGAGGACGGGAAAGGGAGAGAAAGATAGAAACATCAATGATGAGAATCAGTGATCAGCTGCCTCCGGTATGCCCCCTACTGGGAATCTAGCACACAACCTGGGCATGTGCCCTGACCAGGAATTGAACTGTGACCTCCTGGTTCATAGGTCAATGCTCAACCACTGAGCCACATTGGTTGGGCAACCATAAGTGATCTTAAAATCATTTTCATATTCAGAGGATGTTTACCAGTGTGCTAAAGATCTCTGGAACCATATCTTCAGAACAGGTTCAAGACTTGGGGACGAATAGCCAAGGTTTACATGATGCATTCTCCAAAAGGCTGTCATAAGAAACAGGCTTTGGACCTGTACCAAAATGAAAGCCACGAAGAGTAGGATAGAAGGCCCACAAAAAATATAATAATAATTTGGAAAGTAATGTACTGCCTTGCCTGCCCCTAGAGAGAATGGGGGGGGGGGGGTGGTAAGAGATGGATGGATACTTGACAGGTTGACAGGGATGTTGTAAAAGGGAGTCCTACTTTGGGTGCTTAATTAAACCAAATGATACCCGTTTCAATTATAGAGGTTATGATATAGTACTAATGTTTCCCTAAGTCCCCAATATAATTACTATTTTTATGGATATAATTGATCCTGAGAAGCTTAAATATATCAAAGCATTTTTCAAGAAATTAAATTGCTCATTTTGATCAGCATAAAAATGGTTCTTGTCTAAAACCTTGTCTTAGTCACTATCAATTTGGAAAAAAAAGTGCATCACTATGTATGCAGTAACTATTATATTTCTTCTTTCTTTTGAAAAGTAAAAATACCCAGAATTGTTCAAGAAAATGTAATTATTCAGTAATCAGAGAATAAGAAATCATATGTTAGCAAGTTCCCCCATGAGATTGTAGTAGTAATAATGGCTGACATTACTGATTACTTACTGTCCAGATCAAGCATGTCAAATTCAAAGGCCAAATAATAAAGGTTTAAATTTATGTGGGCTGCAAAAAAAAACAAAAGCTTTAATTTTCATGGAAATGTAGTTTTATTTTGATAGAGACATGCTGAATACAAAGGGCTGAAATAAATGAGTAATCATTAACATAAATTAATAGAACAATTTAATAAAAATTAATATTTTTTGAACATTAACTTACCAGACACTGAATAACTGCACAAATTAATAAGCGTAACACAAAAAAACCTATTTTTCTTGTTCTCCTAAAGTGAAATATTTTCTGTTGTGCACACCAAACAAGTCAGCACAAGAATTTGTCAGACTCACGGCCCATGGGCCACATGTGGCCCACAACAAATATTTTTGTGGCCCAGCCAATATAACAGATATAAGAAATGTTTTAATAAAATTTTCCTAATTTAATTTTTACAATATCCTGTTATACATAATCCTTTCTAATAAAAGAGAAACATGTAAATTGACCATACCTCCGCTATGCCCACAAGCTATGCCCAATCAGGAGCAAGTATGCAAATTAACCCAACCAAGATGGCTGTAGTTACAGAGCTGGAGCAAGCAGGAGGCTTGGGTTTCCCCAGCGATGGAAGAAGCCAAGCTTCCCTGGCCCTGGCCTGCCCTGGCCTCCATTCAAGGCTACAAAGTTTCAATTATAGAAGATAAATAAATCCCAGATACCTGCTTCCAGCTTATGCTTGGGTCACCAGGGGGTGTGGCTGGCCTGCAAACCACCACAGGCCCCTCGCCCAGGCCACCCCATGCCATAAGGGAACTCCCACCCTGATCCACGACACCCTTCAGGGCAAACCAGCCAGCCCCCACCAGGCTCCTATCCTATCTAATAAAAGAGTAATATGCAAATTGGCTGTCACTCCAACACACAGGATGGCTGCCCCCATGTGGTCAAAGATAGCTGCCCCCATATGGACACAATTTGACTGCCACAAGTTGGCCAGCAGGGGAGGGCAGTTTGAGGGAACCTAGGCCTGCAGGGGAGGGCAGTTAGGGGCAATAGGGCTGGTAGGGGAGCAGTTAGGAATCAATCAGGTTGGCAGAGGAATGGTTAGGGCATGATCAGGCTGGCAGGTAGAAGTGGTTAGGGACAATCAGGAAGGCAGACAGGCGAGCAGTTGAGAGCCAGCAGTCCTAGATTGTGAGGGGGATGTCCGAATTTCTATTTAGGCCCAATCCTACCTTCTGGGATAGGGCCTAAATGGAAAGTCAGACATCCCTCGAGGGGTCCCAGATTGGAGAGGGTGCAGGCTGGCCTGAAGGATACACCTCCCATGCATGAATTTTGTGAACCGGGCCTCTAGTTATTAATAGTGAACTACAATGTTCGCTAATGACTGATTAATATAATCATTTTGCATTTATTTCCCTTACATGCTCTACATGCAGGCCCACCATTTCTCTCCACTAATACTGGCAGTGAATATTTTAGCAGCTGATAGCCATGTCATTAGTCTTGTACTGACTTGTTTGGTGTGCACAACAGAAAATATTTCACTTTAGGAGAACAAGAAAAATAGGTTTATTTGTGTTACGCTCATTAATTTGTGCAGTATTCAGTGTCTGGCAAGTTAATGTTAAAGAAAAAATAATTTTAATTAAAATTTTCTATTATTTTATGTCAAAAATTACTCATTTATTTCAGCCCTTTGTATTCAGCAAGTCTCTATAGAAATAAACCTACTTTTCCATGAAAATTGAAGCTTTTGTTTTTTTGAGGTACACGTAAACTTAAACCTTGTTTATTTGGACTGTGTTAGCCTTTGAGTTTGATGTGCTTGCAGTACAAGACTAAAGATGTGGCAATCGTTTGCTAAAATATTCACTACTATTATAAGTGGAGAGAAATGGTGAGCCAGTGCATAAGGGAAATGAATGCAACATGATCATAGTAATCAGTCATTAGTGAATGTTGTAGTTTGTTATTAATATTATGCATAACAGGATATTGTAAAAATTAAGTTACAAAATTTTTATTAAAACATTTTTTACATATTGTTATATTGGCTAGGCTGCAAAAATATTCATTGTGGGCCACATGTGGTTCACAGGCCACAAGTTTGACATGCTGGGTCCAGATACTATTCTAAGTGTTCTGCATATAACAATGCTAAGTGTTTTATGTAATTCAAAAATGTATAAGAGGATACTATCAATCCCACTTTACAGATGAAGAAATTGAAGTCCAAAAATGTTGACATGCTTGTATCACACATTTGTTAGTGATAGAATATGGATTCTAATTCAGCCAGTTTGACTCTAGAGTCCATGGTCTAAATCGTGTACCCTATTGCTATAAAAGGTCTATAACCCATCTTTGACTTGTATATATGCATTTCAATACATATACAACACTTAAAGATTCCTAAGAAAAGAAGTTAGCATATTGTAAAGATGGGAGCTCTGATTATTTTCTCTTAAAATGTTATGATGATAACAGTCTTTATTTTACCTTTCCAGCATGCTTAAATTCTTGTTTATCCTTGTTGGCAAATCCAACCATTGCTGAGGTTTCAATCATTCCTGTCAGAGCAAGCACTGGAGCAATAGTCAGAATCAAGAGTGTCATCTCCCATCCATATATGAGGGACACGATAATGGACAGTCCCATGTTAGTTGCATTTTGTGTTAAGACACCAATCCTAGAACCTGTTGCCTATAATCAGACATATTTTGGGGGGAAAAAGTCAGTTAATCTAAAATTTATAAGAATTGCTATTATAGTTTCTTGAAAAACAAGGTAGGCTTTCTTTTTTAGGATTTATACTTAGATTTTTAACTTTGAATTTATACTTAGGGATTAAGTAATAGCCATATTTTAAAAATGTCCTGTGCTATGGACTCTTTATGCTTTATTTATCTACCTTATGTCTGATATTGTTGTTCTTTGACATATTCCTATCATGCTTTAAATACTTCCTGACACAAAAAAGATTTTCCAGTCCCTACTCCTGGAATCTGTCTTTTCTCTAAGGAGTCTTGGTTCCTTTTAGTGGAGAATGTGATTTAGAAGTCAATATATGGTGCCAATTGTGCTCATTATTAGTGAAATGTCAGTAGCTAGAACTGGGAAATGTGTGTGTGTGTGTGTGTGTGTGTATATGTATGTACAGATGCATGCACACATGGAAATCTACATTTATTTCTCTAGTTATATTTATTGAAATGCATGAGTTCACATCAATATCTACAGTTCCAATCCAACACCATAAGGTTATTTACAGCATTTTCCCTTCCAATATTTGCTGTCCCCTTTCAACAGTGAGAAACCTGGCTCTCATTTTCTTTAATAGACTCATGTGATTAATCCCTCAGTATGTAACCACTCTGCTATCACGGCCCCTGCCTCTGCCCTGCATGGGCATCTTCCTCACTCTGCTCTGGCTCGGCATTCCCACACCAGGCTGCTGCCACACATGGATGCCCACTCATGGTATGTGGGCTGTAACCCCAGTTCTGTCCTCCCCCTGCACTGATGGAAGGCTGGTACTCTTAGCCACTATGCCATGGTGGAGTTGAATGGAATAACTGAGGATATTCATTAAAATATACACTTTGAATATGGTATCTACATTCCCTTTCTGCACTTTATAACTTGGTTTCACTATGCAAACTCTAAAGAAATAATATCAAAGTAGAAGAGGAGTTGGAAACATCATGGTGTAAGGTAACAAAAGAAATTTTTAAAAATTTAAATAAATAGAAATATATTTTCTAGGAACTACATGCCTTATGTATCAACTTTCAATAGGACATGTGAAAAATAATAAACACAATGTTAAATTCTTCTGAAAAAAATGAGATCCATATTTACCTAAAAACACAACTATAATCAACCAAGATATCAATTCACTTTTTTTTTTCCTTTTTTCTTCTTCTTCTTCTTTTTTTTTTTTTTTTGGTGCCTGACAAGGATCAAACTTGCAACCTTGCCCTATTGGGACTATGCTTTAAGCAACTGCACTACCTGGCCAGGGCTTATTTCACATTTTAAAACATATTTTTTCTCTGATCATGAAAGTATTACAATTGGAAAAGATTTAGATAATGCTAAAACTTACATCCTTCTAGACATAAATAGATACATATTCAAGTTAGGATTATTATATGTATGTAGCTTTTTCTATCCTGCTTTTTTTCTTTTTTTCTTTTTGGAAAAGGGTTATAACATACTATAATTAACTCCCTAATGGGTATGAGGAAATCTGACAAACAAACAACCCATTCTATCTAGTAGCTGGGAAGCCTTTGTTTCTGGTCTGGACACTACTGGGGGCACTTGCTGAATCAAGTGAATCAAGACCAGCAGATTCTCTCTGAGAATTTTAGCACACCAGGACAATAGCTGTCAAGATTTGACTCTAGTCTCGGGCTATATCCTGCTTTTATCACTTCACATTATACTACAAACTTTTTCCTGAATCATTATAATTAGTCTTCAAAAATATTTAGGTTGTTTCCTAGTTTTCACTATTAATAATAAAGATATAATGAGCACCTTGTGTGAAGTCTTTGTGTTTATATTTTATTTTCTACTGTTAAATTCTTAGTCTGAAGTAATATGTAAAATGGTACGTGCTCTTACATTCTTGGTAGCTAGTGTCAGATTTCTTATCTAAAAGATCATCTCAGCCCTAGCTGGTTTGACTCAGTGGATAGAGGTTTGATTCCAGTCAAGGACACAGGCCAAGGTTGCAGATCCCCAATTGGGGGCCTTCAGGAGGCAGCTGACCAATGATTCTCATCATTGATGTTTCTCTTTTGATCTCTCCCTCTCCTTTCCTCTCTGAAATCAATTAATATATATATATATATATATATATATATATATATATATATATATATATATTTAAAAAATCATATAAATGTTCACTCAAGTACTGCCAAATTAGTATTGTCATTAAAAAAAACAACAATAATAAAAAGCCCTTTCTACAAAGTGACTTGCATTTGCAAATCTTTGCATTTTGGTTATCCATTTGTGTACTAATCTGCTTAAAAATAAGATTATATACCTTTTTACATGGTATATTAGTTTAAGCTACCATAAACTTCTCAAAATGTTTAGCCATTTCAGCTAAGAACAGCCTACAAACCGTGCCTTTTGGTGATGGAGGTAGGACAAAAAAAGTCTGAATATATTTGTCCTGTTCCATGAAGAATTAATAGAAAATAACAGATATTTGGCTTTGAAAAATGCTGTGAGAACTAATGGAAAATGGTCTTTGAGGAATAATGTGCCTCTCAAATGAATTAGAACTGGAATCAGAATAAGTGTAACAGAACTTCCTTAGATCTTTTAGAAACATGCACAAAGATACAGTTGTTTTTTTCTTGGAAATTAAGAGCAGAAAATCATGATTAAATACTTCTTTAGATAATTATAGAGTATATTTCAATTCTTAGGTACTATGCTAACTGTGAGGCATACAACTTTTCTAAGAGAATTACAGTATACAAAGAGGAATGGCTAGCATAAGAAAATAAATGGAAGGAAACTCAGTACATAATTGTAGAAATAAAGTTCTATATATTGGATTTCTGCTTCTGGCTAACATGGAGTAATGGAATGGTTTTATGCTCCCATCTAAAACAAACAAACAAAAAAATAGACAAAACTATGAACCAATGGGTTTCAAGGTACTAAACTTAAAAACCAAGGGTAGAGATGGGGAACAAAGTAGGTGAGCTCTATGATTGTCCTAGCTTACCCCTTGAAAGAGCAGCCAGGCTTCAAAGGAGAAATTGTTAATTACAACGGAGCCCAACAGAGTAGAGCCCTAACTTGAGTAAATGTAGCTGAGCTCTGGGGAGGTCACGGAAGCTAGAATTTGTTGCACAGAACACCAGAGAGAGGTATACACAGAGAGAAATCTGGATATCTGCAGAAGTTCTTCCTTCAATACTCAGCTGAGTAATGTATGTATAAGGGCTGGGAATAGTGCCTGGTCATACCAGCTAAACCGGAAAACCTCATGATTCACAATGTTGAATGTAATATGTAGAAGGATTTTGCCTGAATAGTAGGCTGTAATCCTGCCTAATAAACCTCAAAATCAAGACCCAAGTGGAGCCGAAACTGGTTTGGCTCAGTGGATAGAGCATCAATCTGCAGACTTAAGGGTCCCAGGCTCGATTCCAGTCAAGGGCATATACCTTGGTTGCGGGCACATCCCCAGTGGGAGGTGTGCAGGAGGCAGCTGATTGATGTTTCTCTCTCATCAATATTTCTAACTCTCTATCCTTCTCCCTTCTTCTTTGTAAAAAATCAATAAAATATGTTTTTAAAAAAATAGACCCAAATAGATCAAACTGTTTCTAAGGTAACTTAATTACATCTCAGAACAAAACCAAATATATAAAAATACAAAAATATACAGCACTCAAAAATGTTAAATTTACAGTGTGTCAAAATTGCAGGTATGCAAAAAGCAGTAAAATAAAACTCACAATGAGCATAAAAATAAAGCAATTAAAACTGACCCCAAATTGACACAAATGTTAGACCTAGCAGACAATGATGTTAAAAGTTATTATTGTACTAGAGGCCCAGTGCACAAATTCATGCACAGGTTGGGTCTCTCGGGTTGGCCTACACCCTCTCGCAATCTTGCACCCCTCAGGGGATGCTAGATAGCCAGATTCAGCCTGATTCCCACAGGCCCAATCCAGACAGGAGGAAGCCCTATCCTGTGTGTTGAGCATCTGTCCCCTGGTGGTCAGTGCATATCATAGCAATTGGTCAACTGGTCATTCAGTTGCTTAGGCTTTTCTATATAGATATAAAATATTTTTCAAAGTTAAGAGATAATGCAGATATCAGAGAGACTCACATCAAATGAAAATTTCAGTGTCTAGGAATAAACTCTCACTGGAACCTATTGCCTGTGACTGTCTTAGTGCTATGATGATGGAGTTGAGTAGTTGCTAGAGAAACCTTGTGTCACTCTCTTTACTTTGTACTGCTGCTCAGCGTGTGGCAAATCTGTGAGGTGATTACAATTTGACAGCATGTTGAGTGCCACATGTATTGCTATACTGACATTTTATCCTAATTTAAAAAAATTACTAGTGCATGCATATTCAACATCTAAAAACAATGAAGGAAGAGAAAAGATTTTGAATGTCCTGCTTTTAAGGAACAATAGACTGTGGGTTACTTTGTGTTATAATTAAGTGACATAGCATTGTGTTTATGATGCCATGACATTATATAATACTAAAAATGTATAAAATACATTAACATTATCAGACTAAGCACTCATCGCAATATTTCTAGTTCATAGAAAAGCAACACAGAAAAATTAGAAAATTTTCACTTTTTAGTTTTATGAAGAAATTATGCTATGATAAAGTCATTTTGATTATATGCCACACTTACACTATAATAAAGTTATTTTGATGATTACTAACCTTTTTAAAATAAATATATATTGTTGTAGCCCTAGCTGGTTTGGCTCAGTGGATAGAGCAACAGCCTGTGGACTGTAGGTCCCAGGTTCGATTCCAGTCAAGGGTACATGCCTCGATTGCAGGCTTAATCCCCAGTGGGGGATGTGCAAGAGGCATCCAATCAATTATTTTCTCTCATCATTGATGTTTCTATTTCTCCCTCTCCCTTCCTCTATGAAATAAATAAAGATACATTAAAAAAATCTTTATTGTTGAAAGTATTACATATGTCCTGTTTTTCTCTCTATTGCCTTCTCCCACCCCTCCCCACTACTAACATTCTTTGAATCACAAGTAATGACAAGCTGTTTTATACATTTCCCAAAAAGTTAAGTCAAGAAATGAGGTCACTATTGTTCATTTAATGATAGCTTAGTTATACTTAATCATTTCGTTGGGCTTTTGGAATTAATGAGTTTTTTTTTAATTTCTTTAGGGAGTATAATCATATTTATGATGAGAAGAATTCTTGTAACTAATATTTGTGTCTGTCAGTATTACATCAAGTGTACACTGTAGTGTCAATAATATACTTTTTTGTGGACAAAAATGAGATAAGACTTTTAGTTGATGCAAAAGGGTTGCTAAAAGATACAGAAATAATATCTTTGTAATTTTGTGAAATCTAGTCTTCCAAAGGATCTAAAATGGCCTTATACCTTTAGTAAAGATACATTTTAAATAGAAAATAGTCTGTTGACAGATACAATGGTAATATACCATGACCTCAGACTGAAATAATACTAGCTAAATTAGTTGTATTTATTGAACTATTTCAGGAATCATGTTGTCCTATGACTTTATTTTACTAACATGTGTTTTTCATGGCTCTCAAAGTATCAGAGTTTCTAAAAATGGCCAGGGACATATATTTTTTGGTCATTAGTAAAGATTTCAAAATAATATTTATTATTATGAAGGAACTATTTATCAACATTCACCCTAATACATTTGATAAAATAAAATATAACTGAAATTACATGATGAAGAGACTGAGATGAATAAGTCTTAAATTGCTATGATAGGAAATATGATCCTGAATTATTCCATAGGGTAGTGTGTCTTTATGAGAGAAAAAAATAGTGGATAAATAGGACTTATAAATAATTCTTCCTTAGATAAAAAGAGTATCCATTCACCTTAGATATGAATTTATCTTTATATGGCAAAGCAAGGACTTATGTGAATTACATGCTAGTAGACTTAGTCGCACTCTTGAAATCCTTCATTGGCCTTTTTGCTTTTTAAATTCAACAATCAGTATTACAACCATTATTTCGTTAGCTACTTCTTCTCATTCAATGAAAATGACCTGTCCAAAAGTTGTTATGAGACCAACATTTACAATTGCAACAAAGTTTCAAGTGATCAAATTGTATTAGTCAGATGCTTATAAGGAATTAGGCTGACACATATTCTCATTAATTTCTCTTGATGAAAGACAGCACTATTTATTAGAAACAACTAATGAATTTAAGGAAAATAATGTTGGTCTTTCAATCCTAATCTGTTCTTTTGTTAAACACTTGCTAAAAGAGAAGATGGCACTCATATAAAATACAGCTGCCAGTAAGAATGTCTTTTCACTGAATTCTTAAAAGATCTAAATGATAGTAAGAAAAACATATTCCCACAGTAAAGAAGAAAACAGCAAATTATGTAGAATGGGGATTCAAATAAAAATTATAGAGAACGATATTTCTGTCTAAAGAGTTAAACCCCGGAATTTCTGAAAAAATACATTGTCATTTACATAATTCTATTTGTGCTATTAATGCTATGCTCATTACTTTAGTAAGTGAAATTCTATTTTCCCCACTATGCCGGTAAAATTTAACTACTCAACCCTATCTTAATATTTAAATACTATCTAATAAAATTTAGAGCCTTGCCTTCAAAATTATCAAAAAGAGTTTTAGG